AGCCCCAGCCCCAGCCCCAGCCCCTGGCCTGACCTCAACCCTGCACCCCAGCCCGGCCCACGCCCCCCGGCCCTGGCCTCAACCCCGGCCCACGCCCCGGCCTGGCCCGGCCCCACCTTGGTGGAAGGAGGACTCTCAAGGGGCCTGCTGGGTGGACGGGTGGTCTCGAGGCCACCTGGAGGAATGGCCAGGCCAGGCTTCCTGGTGGGAGGCCCAGCTTCCGCCCCGGGGCTCGCTGTCAACCAGCCAGCACCTGCTCGGCAGACCCCAGACTTAAAGCAGCCACACGCCGGTAGGTCTTTCCTACTCAGAGGCCTCCCAGAAAGCCGTGGGACGCCCATTCCGGGCCCTTCCACTTCCTGGGGCTTGGGAGGACCTGGCCAGGGGCCCTGACACCCGTTCACGTGCTCTGCTCGCAGCTACGTGATGCGCATGAAGGAGTTTGAGCGGGAACGGAGGCTGCTCCAGCGGAAGAAGCGGCGGGAGCAGCGGGCGGCAGACGTGGCCCAAGGCCAGGGGCCTGGCGAGGTGGCCCCCGAGGTAGCCCTGTAGCGGACCCGCCCCCACCCTGTGGACCAGTCGATAAATAAAAGCCTCCGGGCCCCTCAGCCGGAACCCTGCCTCCTCCTGTGATGTGCTGACTCCCCAAACCCACCCTCACCCCCCTCCCCCGAAAGAAACACGCGGAGCCTGAGCCCAAGTCTGGCAGGGGCAGGCAGGTTTTATTCCAAGCGCCGGACAGTGGTGGCCCCCCCTCCTCCCCCGGAATGCTGCTGGGACAGAGGAAGAGCCTGGCTTGGTGGAGCCTGGGAGCCGGCGGCGGCGGCTTAGAGCAGGAAGGGGATGATGGGCATGCGCAGAGGCGGGTAGTCCCGGAACTCCTTCAGGTAGCTGCGGTGCTTGCCCTTGGCCCAGATGGTCATCTGAGTGAAGCCCACCAGGGAGAAGAGGGCCACTGTGGGGCAGAGCGGGGGCGTCAGGGGGGCCGCAGAGCCCAGGCTGGGGGGGGGGGGGAGGGCATGGAGGGAGGAGCAGCGGGTTCACCTGGGAGACACTGTGTCATGATGGCAAAGCCAATCCAGGATCCCACCTGTGGGGAGAGGGGTCAGGGGTCAGGGTGGGCAGGACAGGGCAGTGCCGGCCGCTGCACGGAGGCCTCGCCCACCTCCCCCCAACCCTTACTATCCAAATGCCGATGCCAGAGAGGCCTCGAGTAGACAGGATGACCTGATGAAGGCGCCCCCCGCTTCCTTGTGGCTGCAAGCCTGGCCTTGCACACCTCCCAACTCCCAGAAAGGCCAGCTTTTCCGTCTCCAGATGCTACAAACTGCAAGGCAGCTGGTGAGCCAGGGGCCCCTATCAGGGGCCGGTCCCTCCGTGTGGGACCCCAGCCCCAGGAGGGAGAGGGGAGGAGAGCGGGGCAGAGCCGCACCTCGTACGTATAGTTGGGGCAGGACACCAGCAGGAAGAGCCAGGTGAAGGGGTTCTTGGTGGGGTATGGGATCTTCCTGGTCTTGGACCCTGCAGGGCAGGACAGGAGGGGCAAGTGAGACCCCCTCACCCGGCCCACCCGGCCCGACCCCCACCCCCTCGCCTGGGGCAGGCCACTCACCAGCTGGCCGCAGGTCCCGCAGGGCCATGTGGATGGAAAAGTTGCCAAGCTGGCAGATCTGTCAGAGCAGCAGGGTCAGCCGGGAGCCCCCAGACTCCCCACCCCAGACCCCTCCTCCCCAGCCTGCTTACCACGAAGATGGCGAGGGCCAGTTTCACCTGCTGAGCTCCATAGGCTGAAGAGGAAGCAGAGGGGTGGCCTGTGAGGGGAGAACCCAGGGGGGGTGGGGAGGGGCAGGGTCCAAGGCCACTTACTGGGGGGTGTGTAGAGAGGGTGGTTAATGTAATAGGCCATCCAAGCGGCGAAGCCCCAGTAGTAGGTGCAGTTCTGAAAGGGAGCGGGGCTGTGGTGAGTCGGGCCGGCAGTGGGTGGGGCGAGGGACGGGCGGGGTCTGGGCACAGGGGTCCAGGTGGGTGGGGCCGGGAGGCGGCCAGGGTCTGGCTGGACACACCCCGGGGCGCTCACCTTGAAGATGTTGCGCAGGGGCATGGTGCCGTGGGAGAAGCGGTGCACGAAGAGCGTCTCCAGCAGACGCTTGATGTAGTGGAATGAGTGGCAGATGCAGGCAAGGCTGGGGGGGGAGGGGCGGGGGCAGGCTCAGCCGGGGCAGGTCCAGCAGGCCTTCCCCGCCCCCCACCACCACCCCTCCCCCTGGCCCCACTCACTGCACCACCGTGTGCCGGCTGGACGTGAAGTCATACTTGTGGCCGTAGATGAAGGGCACCCGGAAGTAGAAGAGCAGGTAGATGAAAAGGGGCCCTGCGTACTCGGTCAGGAAGACCTGGGGGTACGGGGAGCAGGTGAGTCACCCCAGTGTGGCTGCTGGGAAAGGAGGCCACGGACAGGGCTGCAGCTCACCGTCACCCAGCTGATCTGGGCCCCCAGGTCCCGGAAGTAGAGTGTGGCCGTGGTGCCCACAGGCAGCTTCTGCAGGACGTCCTCATCCTTCAGGGACTTGCCCTCTGCAGAGAGACCAGGCCGGGGCTCAGAGCTGCCCAGGACTTCGCCCACTGCCACCCAGGAGCCTAGGGGCGGCCGAGCAGACAGCTGTACTCACTGGGGTCCAGGCGGAGGGACTGGCGGGCAGGGTACCACTGTGGATCTGCAGGGAGAGCAGGGCATCACAGCGCACAGCACGGTGGAGCCCAGGGACCCCACGCCTCCTCCAGCCCCAGGACAAGGGCTCTGAGGCCCGTGCCAGGACCCAGCCGGGAACAACCCAGGCAGGAGAGGGACGTTACTCTTCCGAAGGCCCGGCAACGACGTTCCTGCTGAAGGCCACGCAGGGACATCTGCCCCAGGCAAGCCAAGAGAAGCCTGGGCCACACTGGGGGCATCTCTGCAGGACCTGGGAGGACAGGTGTACAGGACAGGGTCCCACCCAGAGGCCCCTGCCCAGAGGTCACGGGTGGCACAGCTGGGCCCTGGACTTACGGGTCTTGGTGAAGAGGTTCTTGATCTCGGCAATGGTGGCATGGGGCTCCACCTGGGGGAAGCAGAGGCCGCAAAGAAGTCGGGGGTAGGGGAGCCTGGTCAGGGCCCCCTCCTGGTGAGGGGGGTCAGACAGGGGGCCTGGGCCGCTGCTATGGGAGGGGGAAGGCCGGAGTTCAGGCCCCCCTACCTACATGGCTGAACAGCACAGCAACGGCCCCCCCAGAGTGGAGATGGTATGAGCCTGCGAAGCTGGGCCTGCTTCCCTGCCTGTGCTCACTCCCACACAGCTGCCCGCAGTGACGGCCCTCGGTCAGGGCCAGAACTCACTGGGGCGGGAGCCCCTTCCCCCCTGCCTGGCGTCTGCAGGGGGCAGCTCTCAGAACCCCCACCTTCTTCCCAGGCCCCAAAGCCCTGCAGGGTCCACAGAGGTTGCCTCACCTCTTCCCACTAGGGGGCCGGCTCCTGGCCGCACCCAAGGGCCAGCGCTGCTCACCCCACCCCATGCTGGCAGGGGCAGACCCGGGGACGGTACCCCTCATCCACCCGAGGAGTAGGTGGGGTGTCAGGACACAGGTTGGGGGGACGCAAGGAGTCCGCCTCCTCAGAACCAGGAGCCCCAGGAAGTAACGGGCCCAGACTCCGTGTCCTTGGCCCAGGGCCGCTGACGCCACGGTCGTACCTTGTCCAGGAAGCACAGCTTCTCTCGCGTCTTCGCGTCCAGAATCTCCACCTCGAAAAAGAGGACGGCCTTTTTAGGTTTTTTGGTCTTGGCGGGGGCGATTCGGGGGAGGCCGTTGAGGCCGAGGCCGAGGCCGGGGCCCGGGCCCGGACCGGCCTCCCGGGCCACCATGCCCATGTTCAGGTCCATGCTGCCCTGCTCTGCCCGCTGCGGCCAGCGGCCCCGGCTGCCGGCCGTCAGCCCCCACCTCGGACCTCCCCAGGCGGAGCGGCTCTGGGCCGGGCGGGCGCGATCAAATTCTGCCGCGGTGCTGGAGAGGAGCCCGCGCCTGCCCTGGCACCGCCACCTTCTGTGCAGATGTAACCCGAGTGCCCCACAGCCACGGCCCAGCTAAATATAAAACTGCCCCAGACCGAGCCCCCCAGGAGCCATGCCACAGACCTCCTGGGGGCGACCCCTGGGGGCTGGGTCCCCCAAAACTGAGGCTTTTGAGTGGACACAGCGCCTGGACAACACTGGGGGCAGGGAGACCCTCGGAGGCAGGGAGGCACCTCCCGCCTGGCCCAGTGCAGGGCGGGGCGGGCCTCGGGAGGAGGGCGAGGGAGGCCGAGGGCGGCCCAAGCCTCGGCCGGCTCAGGCCCGCAGGGCTCACGGGGCTTGGAGAAATCCCAGCTATTTTGAGAATCCCAGAGACAGATCATCCACTTCCCCTTCTGAGCTGTAAGAGACACTGCGGATTATTTTCCTTGTGCATTTGTGTTCCCAGGGAGGTGACAGATTCCGAAGTTATTGGTGCAGAGAGCCTCTCTCTAAGTGTGGAAAGGGTCAGGAAACGGAGAAGTTTCCAGCTAGCATCCCCAGCCTGGATGGATGAGGCCCTGGCCCCAGCCCCTGCCTCCCTGACCTCCCTTCTCCACTCATTTCTCACTAGGTCCACCCGGGCCTGTCCAAGGCCACCTCTGGGGCAGTCTTCCCACCACGTCAGCCCAACACAGTGCCCTTGCCTAGGCCCTGAGCCCACAAAGCCCAAAGCCTGGCCACCCCCAACCCCACCCTTCTCCCAGAGCCGCCCCCAGACAGTGGCAGAGCAGTGGGCAGAGTTGGGAGGGAGAGAGCCCCCCGCGGGGTGGGGGTGGGGGTCGGGCCCACCCATCCCAAGCAGCTCAGAGAAGGCGCCGGGAGGGGCCGTGAGCATGTGAACTGCTGAAGCTGGAGGGAGGCCCAGCAGTGGCCAGTGGATCCCCAAAGGCCCAGGTGCTCCCATGGGGGGCTTGGCACAGGTGCTATTGACGTGGGTCGTGGCAAGAAGGCCTAGGTCTGACCTCAGGTCAGCCGCTAGCAAAGCAGGCGCGGAGAATCCTTCCCACCCCTGGCGGACCTCAGTCAGAGGCAGTGTGGAGAAAGGAGCCGGTCAAGAAACCCCAGGGCAGGGCCCCAGCCAGGGCTCTCTGAGGGCAAGGCCAGCCACCCACAGCCCGGCAGATGGTCCACCGCAACCAGCACCCCCTAGAGGGAAAGGGATCCCCTCACACATCCCCCAACAACACGGAAGATGTGGGGAGACTGAGTCTGGCCATGCCACGAGGTCGCCCATGACCAGCCCCTCACTTCTCTCTGAGCCTCGTCCAGGAGGCAGGTAGGAAGGCGTGGGCCTCAAGGGGTTATAAGGGGTCATGAGACAATGTGAGTGGAGCACCAGCATAGGGCCTGACAGGAAGTGCCCCAAAACCTGGGCGTGAGGCTGGGCGTGAGGAGGCCCGGTGGGAAGGGCACAGGCCTGGGTGCAGATCCTGGCGGCCTGCAGGCCTGTTTGCCCACGTATGCTACGCCCGCCCCACATCAGGGACACGAGAGGGCCCAACACCCAGAAGCCCTGGCCCATGCTGCCTGTTGGTGCTGCACTGGAGTGAGCCTGCTGGGGACTGCCAGCCGTGTGGCCTTGGGGGACAGCCTACCGAGCCCCTCTGAGCCACGGGCCAAACAGATGGGGCCAGAAAAGAAGCTGGTCATACCGCCCAGGGTGTCTGGTCCCGCCCAGGGGGACTTGTGGGAGAGGGAAGGGGCACACTTGGAACGTGCCAGAAAGGGCTAGAATAGCAGGGCCGTGGGCAGGCATAGGGCCTGCCCTGTGGCTGCAGGTATATTAATAGTTCCTGGGTCCCAGCAGGGCGGTGCCCACATGCCTTCAGAGCCCATGTGGGGCAGGAAGGCAGCACCAGGCCCACTGGGAGAGGAGGCCTCCAAGTTCCTGCTGAGCCACTCAATAGCTTAAAATATAAGCAGCCCCTCTCCCTGCCGGCCAGCTGCTGGGGGAGGGCTGAAATCCTACCCCTCTCCCCCAGCCTGGGCACCAGACCAGGGTCCGGGGAGAGTCGGGGGCCCCGACTGGCTGCCGGAGAGGAAGCTGGGTGGCAGGAGGGGTGGCCGGGCGAGGGGCACGCTCCCAGCGGCCGCGCCGGGGTCAGTCCCAAGCTGGAGGACGGGAGCCCGCGCCCTCACAGAGGTAAGCCTGGCCCTCCGGGCAGCACCCTGGGGCCCAGCCCACCGGGGTGGGGGTTGCCTCAGCTCAGGGCTGCTGCGGCTGGATCTGGGGCTGGGTCGGTCATTTCCCACTTCTCACCCCCGCATCCCAGGACCCAGCAGCTTTCATGCTGAGAGAGGTCTCAGAGGCCCTGAGGAGTGAGGGGAATGTAGGACCCAGGACCCCTCTGTACGATTTTATAATTACTGCAAACTGAAAAGTGAAATAAAAGTTTATGCTAGGCGGCAGAAAGAAAAGAAAGAAAGAAAGAAAGAAAGAAAGAAAGAAAGAAAGAAAGAAA